CCACTCTCCTCACTAGTGCCTCCCATGGCCTTCTCTATATATGTTTAAACTATTTTAAATGATTTTCTACAATCTTCTCCACAGTAGATGCCATGCCCATCTTTTCTTATATATGCTCATTATAGATTTTATCTTTTTATGTATACTTGCACATCTATCTTAATATTCTTATCTTTGCTATTTTAACTTTATGCACTTGCTATCCTTTTAAAGTCCAACATTCACTACCATATAACATGACTAATCTTATAGCAGTCTAATAAAACTTTCCTTTAAGCTTATTAGGTACATCCCGATCACAAATAACTCATTTAAGCCTTTGTGCTAGGAAATGACTAAGTCCAATAATTTTGAATTATGAATTAAATATCTGAAAATGCTGACAAGATTTCTCAGTTTACTTGTTCTTGATGTGATTGGAGCAGCGTGTCTTTACCATGACAGCTTCTAGAAGTTTTAATTAAACAAATGACCATTTGGAATGAGGTCATGCATGGCATACCACTTTTCTATTTTGCTTGTGGCGAAGAGAATGAGATGATGAGGAAAAATGAGAAGCAAGAGAAAAGAAATCTTAACTCAGTACATGACATCTTCAGAATGATGTTTTTTTCTTTTTCTTTTTCTTTTTCTTTTTTTTGTGTGAGCTCCGATATCTCAGGTTTTTGACCCAAACTAATGTGGTTGATAATTGAGGGCACCTCTTTGGAGGGCATACCTCCCACCAAGAATTTAATCACTACTACATACCTAGGGCTTGAACTTGAGACCACTGATTAAGCTAAACCAATCCTCTTGCTAGTTGATCCTAGTAGTTGGTGGTTAGAATGATTTTCCATGAGCTAATGTTTGATGTTTCCCTTAATACTTTCAAGCTCAAACTAAGTTCTCTCATTCTTTGTAAAGTTTATATAGGAGGTAAATAAAATGCCAAATGCGTTATTCTCAGAGCTGTATGCTATACCATAATACAAAGATTACTGTATATATCTATAAATTACAATGAAATAAAAGCCTAAATTTATTTTATACTTTGTTTGTGAAAAAAAAAAAGAAAGATCAAATGGGCTTCCCTTACCATATTTATGACTCTAGCAAATTCTTTCTTTGTCTTATGATGGAATGCCAATTTTTTAAATGTCAGTTACTTTTTCAAGATTTGGTTGTTGATGAAGTACAATGATATTGTACAGCTCGTGTAACCAATTTCACCTAATTAGATAAGGTTGCTTCTTCTTCTTGTTGTCATTGTTGATTCCTTTTTCAACAACAACAACAACAACAAGCCTTTATCCCACTAGGTGGGGTCGGCTACATGGATTGCAAGACGCCATTGTGCTCTATCATTTATTAAGCTTTTAGAAATATTATTAATTAAGAGATCACGTTCAACAACTTCCAAGAGTGTTCTCTTAGGCCTTCCTCTACCTCTCTTAATCGGACTCAAAGTTATATGTTCCACTCTTCTCACTGGTGCCTCCCTTGGTCTTCTTTGTACATGCCCAAACCATCTCAACCGATTTTCTACCATTTTTTCCTCAATAGGTGCCACCCTCACTTTTTCGCGTATGTGCTCATTTCGAATTTTATCTTTACGTGTATGTCCGCACATCCATCGTAACATTCTCATCTCTGCTACTCCAACATTCTCATCGTAACATTGTTGATTCCTTTTTCAAATTTCTAAATTATGTTTGCAAAAACAAATGATCAAACAGGCTCCCCTTTATCATTCTGATTTGTCATTTGATTCTAAAATGGCATATACATGATCTCATGCTTTCATTCATTATAGAATTTTACCTTATCAAGTTGAGTTCTACAGTGACCTCAATATACATGTGCGGAAGAAATTGGTAAATGAAACCAAATTCTCAATTTATCTTCTTAAAGTGTCTCTTGGATTTATCATTTCAGCCTTGGACTTCACATCTAGATCAATGACATTGTTGTTGTTCCCTCATGGACTGTGCACAATGTATGAGAGGGAGAGACTGTTTCTACAGATAGAGAGATTTTAAAATGAGAATGATTGTGACTGCTAGCCTTTTTTAAATTGAATATGTAGAATAGATCATAAATAGAAATGAAAATGTAGATAAAACGATAAACTCCTTTTAATTGGTCAAATATTACTACTGCCCTCCATCTTTACAAGTTGCATTAACTGTTTGGTCCATCATGATGTGATCATGTTTCGTGCTTAGATTTGTTTGATCATGGGGTCCTCCATGCCAGTTAAGGTATAGTTAAGTTTAAAGGGTTCTTTCAGATTAATGCAACCATTTGCTTATTGCTCTCGTGTCCCTCGTTTGGTGAAAGCAAAAAATTCTACTAAGCCATGCTGGATATATTGTAAGACAGCCAGTCTATTAAGTTTATTTGTTGGGTTACAGTGACAGTTGTCCATTGGCTGTTTGTCATTGCACTCGTGAACTCTTTGGACCCGTTTGGTTGCTAGAAAGGAAAAGAATAGAATGGATTAAAGAAATAAAGATAAAAATAGAATAATCAATATGAGGAGGGAAGATAAATCAATCACATATTCATAAGGAGGGAAAAGTAATTTAACTCATGAGGTTGAATGTCATGATTTATAAAATTTGTGGAGGGTGTAGTAGTATTGAATTTTACTGTGCTTACTATGAGTGGAAAAGGTAACATACTTTATTTTTGTTTTTGTTTTTTTTTTTTTTTTAATTCATTCCATTCCCTTTCCAACAACCAAACAGCTCCTTTTTTAGTTATTTATTTTGTACCTAGCCATTGAGATGAGCGGTAAATTTTGATTACATCTTGAATTTGTTTGATACCACTGTAATGGGAAAAGTCTAAATTAGTCTCTATGGGAAAGCTTCAGCCAGCATAAATTGCTTGGTTTGGTCTGTACTACTGTTATTACCTCATTTTGTCACGTGCAGGAGTAAAACATTACAGAGAAATTAGAAATAGTTATTATGATGAGAGAAATATGATTTTATATATAGAATTATGGTGGAGTCACATTACCAATTTACCATAACTACTTCCATTCTCGTTTTAGAAGAAATGTGTTTGATTCAAGAGAAGAGAGTGAAAACAATAGCTGAACATCATAATGACTGACTTTGGTACTTGCCCCTGTTCGCTCTCCCAACGATTTTGTAGATTCGCTGTTGATGATATTTAGCCAACTAGCTGAGGAATGAAGTCAGCTTTCCCATCCTTCCGCAGTTCCACTCAACTAGGCTTCTCTTACCTTCTGTTTGGAGCGAGAAGAAAATAGAGGGAAATAAAATTAGGAGAAAAAAGTAGCATAAAGTTTTTCCTCTGATATTCTCCTTCTGTAGGGGAAAATTAGGGAAAAACAAGGATGGAAAATGTTTTTCTTCTCTAATTTTCTGTCTTCCTTATTTTCTTCTCGTTCCTGACAAGGGGCAAAGAGAATCTTTGATGTGAGCCCACTTCCTTCTTGCATAACCAAGAGAGGGTGCTGAATAATTTGAAATTTAAAGTAAGGACAAGCAATTCTCTCCTCCCTTTTCTTGATCCTGGAAAACACGTGGGTGTCAAAAACCAAATCTTACTATGAGGCCAAAGAAATTCTCAAGCTTCCATTTCTCTGCTGCAAGAAGGGTAAGAAAATTGAGGAATGAATAATGATGAAATGAGGGGTAATATTAGCAATGCTATCTACACATTCTATTATCATAAGTAGTACAGATTTGGTGATGTGGCCTAAAGCTAGTAATTTGGGCGGGCTAGACTCATTTGAGTCAAGTCTAAAGTATCATATCTTTTTAAAAAAGAAACTCATATAATCAAGTCCGGTCTTGACTTTTTTCGGCTGGGTTGAAACTAGTTTGTCGAGCTTGATCAAAATTGCCTACTCTACCTACACACAGAGCCAAAAAATTTTAAGAGTCAGGTTCAATTTGGGTCGGGCTTAAAGTATCTTATCCTTATAAAAAAAATTCATATAGCTAAGTTTAGCCCTAACTTTTTCAGGCCGGTTTGGACTGACCCATCGTACTTGGCCTAAATTGTTGACTCTAATGTGACTATTCATAAACTACTCCCTCTGATCTTGTTTATAAAACATTTGTAAAAAGTAATTTTTGGTTCAAAATATAGAATATTTTATAATAATTAAACTACTTTTTTCAATTTTATTCATTTTTAATTAGTTTAAAAGTATTTAATGTAGTTGTATTATTATTTAAAATCAAGGGTAAAATTAAAAATATATCTCACTTTTTATGATATAAAAAAATTAAATTTTTTTAAAATGCTTGAAACAATTAAAAGTATCCTATAATAAGCATTGGAAGAAGTATATCCAAGTTCAATTTTTATATTTTAAAGGGTAAATGACAATAAATTTTTTTAAAATATATAAATAATAATTTGGTATTTTGAAATGTCACAATAATGCAACAACAAAGAAGAATTTAATTTGTTGTTGTATTATTGTGAATATAAAAAAAAGTTATGAATATTTAAATAAAACTTGTCAATTATTTATTTTTAATAAAAGTAATTTAATAATTTATATAAATTTATTAATAACAGAAAAGTCTCAAGAAACATCACGAAAATTATGACATTTTAAAGGATTAAATTATCATTTATATATTTTTAAAAAATTTTATTATCATTTTTGCCATTTTAAATTTTATACTTATCAGCCTGAATCAGGCACGTAAGTAGTTACACACGCGTACATAAGTAGTTACGCGCGCACACACGATCAAACATGACTGCCTTTTAATGGAAAAGCTAAAGTGGAGTCCAACCTCTGTCAGTATTATTTGGTCATTCACGGATTCCTTAAATGTTCCTATTGAAGAAACATGAGGAATGCTTATCTCACCATGGAATTTTAGGGCTTGTTTGGTTCTGTTTTTATTTTTTGTTCTTAAAATTTATTTGTTTTGTAATACAGTTTTTAAAATTATTTTTTAAAAACAAAATGAAATGAAAATCTGTTTAGTCATATTAAGTAAAAAAAAGTTGTAGAATTAAAAATTAAATTGATAACGATGGTTGCTTATGGTCAATGGTATTAGTTCATGATAAAGATTGATTAAGCTAATTATATTTTTTTAATAATAAAATGTAGTGTGTTTTGTAAACAAGAAAAATAAAATAAAAATTTAAATTTTTTTTCATTTTTAAAAGACAAAAAAATGAGAATAGTTTTGAAAATAATTAAATCCAACACACTTAAACAATTTTTTAATTTTTTGTTTTTAATAATTAAAAAATAGTTTTTGAAAACAGAAACTACACAGGCCCTTAAGATTCCATTTAAAAACAAGCAAAATTATGGTGGAAATGAACAGGATGAGCCAATGGTCTTATAATCTTATTGGCATGCTTGTAATCCTAAACCGTTATTTGCCCTTCTAATTTCGAAAAAAGAAATGAACATGATGAGACATAATTTGGGCCAAACAAGCCTAACAGCCTAGCCAACCATGCCAGATAATTGTCTGCAACATGATCATTGTATCTTTCAAACATGCAAACTGGTGTTGAATTGTCTGGCCCAATATCAACTTTGTTGTTCCTCTTTTGGTATCAAAGGCGTCTGTCTCCCAAGCGACAGTCAAGGATTAGTTCCTTTTAAAACATTGAAATCACATAAGTGAACTTTGTCTTTGCTAACAGGATATTTTTTTTTCATAAAAATTATTGTTTAAACCCCTAAGGCCCTAACATATTTAAATTATTATTTTTTAATCTTAAAGTTGAAGGCCAACAACTTATTTTTGAAATGATACTTAAATTATTTGAATTTCAGTTAAAACTATAATTATTATTATTTTTGGAACTTGTTAATTGTAAGATTTTTTTTATTGTACATTTTATTTGTTTAAATAAAAATATATTAAAATCATAAAATAACAATGAAGTAAAGTTGAATTTGTGTCGGTCTAATTTCAATGCTTTAAACTTTTGCTTAAATGACTTTCCCCTGTTTTGTCATCGGATGCTTGCTGATTTATCCTTTCATATAAAGGCTCGTTCACTTTGTTGACTTATTTTCTGTTCTTGTCAATATCTTATGAGATTATATACGGTGATTTGGAATCAGACACGTCGACAAACAGGTAAAGTAAACCCTTTGGCCTTTTTTCCATAATCATTCATTGTTCTATTCTGAAAAATAGAAACAAACAAACAGACTCAGACGGATCCAGGGTAGATTTGATTGCGTTGCTCTTTTTGTTTTTAACTACTGTTTTAAAATATAGTTTTTATTTTTTTTTCCAAAACAAAAAAAAAAGGAAAAGAAAATGTGGCTGATATTAGAGTCAGTAATTCGAATAGGCTCAATTAGAACCAATTTATTCGAATCAAACTCAAAATATCTTATCATCTTAAAAAAGCTTATATAATGACACTCGATTCTACCTTTTTTGACCAGATTCGTTAGGTTTGGCTAAAATTACCTATTCTATATACACATAGAAACGGAAATTTCAAGGGTTGGATTTATTTGGTTTGGATTTCAACATCCTATCCCCTTAAAAAAGTTCATATAGTTAAGTTTGGTCATAATTTTTTTCGGACGGGTTCAGGCTTAATTGAAATTACTGGCTTTGGCTGATACTGTTGATTTAAAAATAATTTTTGAATAAAAAAATTGACCGATAGTAATAGCTTACAATAATAATTAGTTAAGATAATTGTAGTTTTTAATAATGAAGCATAATGCATTTTGAAAATTAAAAAATTAAAGTGAAAACAGTTTTAGCATTTTGAAATACTTAAATTCAAGTCATTTATCCTAATGATTTTTTTAATTTTTTATTTTTAAAAACAAAAAAACTGATTTTTGAAGACAGAAATCAATCTGTCAGGCCAAAAACAATTCAAACTTGAGTTCTTATTATTATTATTATTATTTTTTTTTGAAATTGCTCTGCCAATCAAATCAAATACAAACTGTTTCAGGATTAAGAAACGTCGACAACAACAGCGTAAAAGCAGACAGATCCAGGAAAAAAGGTATCACCAGTATTATTGTTATTGTTATTATTATTATTATTCCATGAATGTGGTTGAAACTTTCCATGTCGGAAAAATCAAACTTTGATTTTCACTTTCACCTTTCAGTGATAAACCAGAAAAGTATGCTATAAAAGAAGAATTCCACATACCTAACCTAAAAGCATCTCTTTCAAGTGCACACCTACAGTGGCGATTCTTCGCATATTAATCAAAATGTTTATTAGGAGTTGAATGTTTGAACGTGGAGCTACTTAAGAATAAAGGCCATCTTTCATCAAACTATTCAACCCATCCAATAGTATATTGTAAAGCAGGCTGTTTTATAATACTTGTGTCCTTGTCAACTTCTGCGTGCTATTATTAATTATTAAACTAAGTTATAAAATATTTATTTATTTACTGTTAAACAAATAAACAGATAAGTGGGCCTTTTTATTTTCAAACTGAATATCCGGAAATATTTCTTGCCGTCTTCGCAATCTACTTGCGAACCTATCTGTTTGGCCAACTTAAACCTATGCCCTTTTTTCAAACCCTACATATATATATATATATATATATATATATATAATATTGGATTTTTTATTTATTTTAGAGTATTAGAATCCTGGATTCCTGGTCAATTTTATGATTTTATCATTTGAACCCAAGGATGGACCTGCGTTGGTCCTTGAGGGTATATATAGTGGGTTGTGTGGTGTGTAATTAGGTTTTGTAATTTTTCATTTGTGTGTGTAACAAGCATATACTACATCTTTTTTATTTGTATTTTTCATACCCTCTTGTTTTTATTACAAGGTACTTTTCAAGAGAAAATCGGTGTTTCTCAATATTATAAAGTATTTGATGGGGTATTATATTTTTTTCAATGTTATCCTTATTTTAACTCGTTAACCGTATGTGAAATAATTTGATGTAAATTTGATAATTTTTATTTAAATTTGGATTAAATTAAAAGTTTATTCTTTTTAAAGACAAAATTGATAACTTAATTACCTTTCTTTAATTCCAATTAAATGATTAGGAACGCCTTATAATAAAGACTAGAGGGAGTAAATGAAAATAAAACACTACGACTAGATGGTGTTGATTATATGAATTGTATGACGTTAAAAAAAGTATATTATTTATATTCATATGAGATTCAACTAATTTTTATATTAGTTATTGAGGTTTTAACACAACTCTCTTCTTTTAATTTAGGTTTGGGATCGGCTATAAGCATACATGAAATTTTAAAATAATTATAATAAATATTTAAAAATTAAATATTCATTTACTTTTAAAAATCTCCCTCCTCACATTCTATAAGCTGGTTCCACCTCTGATTAAACTAGTAAATTATTGAATTAATATTTTAATTGATTTAATAAAATATTTTATTTATAACCATAATAAGTCTAATCATGGTTTAACTTATCATAGTTTTGATTATTAATCTTTAAATCAGTACTTGATTTAATGATCGTTTAACTTTCACTTCTTTTAATGATGTGTTTGTTTATGAAGATATCACGATCTAATTGAAACAAATGCAGGGCTGTAGCCGCAAATTATAGATTTGGGATATCGTTATGAGTAATTATTCTAATTAAAATATACCATCTGATTGATCAATGTATTTAGACTTGTGTGTGTGTGAGAGAGAGAGAGAGTCTAACTTGTATTTGAAATGCTAGCATTGAATTGAATATAATATGTTTCTGGAAGAAACACGTGGGTTTTGCTCAATCATTCAGCCTTTTGAGTACAGTTTGTGATGTTAAAAAAATGCACAACTTGCGAATAGATTATAATTTTTATATTGAAAAGAATATCAACTTGTTTGAAATAAATTATTCACGTAACCGTACAGAGATAAAGCCAAATTTGCTTGGTTGGAATTTTCGTCCACAACAATTACTTTAATAGCCAGGACACAAGCCAGATATTTCTTTTAGGCAGATGAGATAGTGATACGCACACATTATTAAAAAAGATTCTCATATTCAAATTAAATAAATTAATAGCAACCACATGCATAAAACTTATTTTACTGACTAATTTTTTAATTAATTATTAATTAATTTTAATTAAAAAATATATATGAATAATTTTTTTTTTGTTCCATCTGTTAGTATCCTGAAAATATATGGATAATTAATTTTATGATGTGATCAAATTATGAAAATAATTTTTTTTAAAGTAATTAAATAAACATATGATATTTTGTCGTTCAAAGCATGACATTGGCTCGTCTAGCAACCTTCTTATACTAAACGTTATTGAAAAAATTTCACACAGTATGCATTCTGATCTCTCCCTATATTCCCTATGATTCTTTCAAAGATCCTATGCCTCGTTTGTCATAGAAAAATGCATGTCATATATTTATTATAAAATTCAAAGCAATCGAATAAGGGGGAAAAAAATGAACCATAACATTAAGAAATAGACGCATACGTAGAATCGAAAAGAGAAGATACAACCAAGTGGTTGTGGCACTGATAGTGGTCTAAGTGTTTTAGCGTAATTGGATTTCTAAAAGTGTATGTGAAAAAATATCTCTTAAAAGAAGGCAAGTTCTCAAGTGACTCTCATTCCTCAAAAGATTAGTATCACAATTGCTGATTGTGGATATATTTTGGGTAAAAAAATGAGGAGAAGATATGCATATCATCCTTTATTGTTGGGAGAATGATAGATAAATCCTTTCAAAAATAGAAAAATGACGATTTAGCCTTGTAAAATGTGATAATTACAATGAGATTTCAAGGAATTTTTTTGAGATTAAATTTTTATGTGAAATTACTTTAATATCCCTCTACAATTAATTTTATATGGTTTACAAGTTTGATATAAGCATTTGCAAGTTTAATTTCACCAATGACTAAAATAATTTAGAAAATCATAACTTTTGATTAGTAATTTTTTTAATTAGCAAATTCTAACTAACTTTGTATGGTTTACAAGTTTAGTTTTATCAATGACTAAAATAATTTAAAAAATTATAACTTTTTAAATCATAGAAGGAAACTAAAATAATTTTACACAAAAATTTGCTCTGAAATAAGTCCCTTGAGACCTCAATATGATTATCATATTTTGCATGATTAAATTATCATTATTCTATTTCAGCATGATTTATTGTCATTTGCGGCTCAATTATTTATACATTCATCTCACAGCTGTTCTTTTTCTATCTATATTTCCTGAATTTTATATTTAATTTGGAGTTTGAAAGTTCAAAAGGTAAATAGCATAGAATAGCGACCAAGTGATGATGTTAGAGAGGGAAAGGAAGGCTAAAAAATTGCGGTGAAGTGCACGTGTTGGTGATTGGCACGTAGCTATTAATTAGTGCTACGTTTCTACATGGTTGATTTATAATACAAATCAAAATTATTCAAGTCAAAAGTCAAAGGTCGTAACTTCTTTTGTTTTGTGGTCTTTGGTCAGCTTCATGCCCTCTTCAATTATTCATGTAGATAAAGACGTACTATATTATTTACTAATAAAACAGTGTATCGCCTATCTCTAGTCATTAAAATATTGTTTATTTCATATATTTTTAGTTTTATGATTATTTAATGTACTAAGAATTCAGTTTTATAGAAATCTAAATCTCTATAATTTTAATTAGGCAAGTATTGTGTGACTCGCACTTGGTCCTGTGTTGCTTATAATTTTTATTGAACTTAGCCCGGTATATATATGCATTTTAAGTGTTGCAACAATTTAAATTTTCTGATTTTTCTTAACTTGTGACTAGAGCTACACATGGATAGGATCGGGTATGGGTATCACCCATACCCGTGCATGGCCTGATATGTGTGTTGGGCCGGGTTTGAAACAATATAATCATTATCATTTAAGTATATTTTTATAAAATTAATATTAAAATAAAAAGTAATTATTTTTAAAATTACGCGTGATCAACAATTGTCACTTATTTTTGCATAACATTCAGTTTAAAAAAATTTTAAATTTTTTATAGAGATTAAAAATATTATAATCACAAAAAATGTCTAAAAAGATAATAAAAATAATAAGTGCACGATAACTCTTGACCAAAATTAATATTATAAAATAAATATTTTCATAAAAAAATAAAAAAATTGCATGTGTTCAATTCGGTTAGGGTATGGTTTTACCCTATCTGATGTCGGGCATGATGAGCTTGAACGACTCGGGCATGGTCGGGCTTTTGGGTAATGTGAATAGCTCTCTAGTGACAGTTTGTTTCCACTTTAATGCAATTACCAAAAATGATAATTATAGATTAATTATTTATCATATAGAGTGAGACAGCAAAAAATATACTATTTTTAGGCCACGATATACTTCCTCCAGTTTCACATATAAGAGAAATTATCATGTGTTTCTTTTTTTATTCAGGCTAAATTATATATTACTCCCAAACTTTAAATCATGTATGTATAACTTTTTTAATTTTTGAAACTTTATAATAAACCTTCCTCAACTCTTATATTTATATAGATAAATTTATATGCTTAATTTATACATTAATTATCTACACATAACTTAAAATTTAAGAAAGTTATCTATATATCAATTAAAATTTGAGTGCTTAAATGCACACAAAAATAAAATTTAATAGGGTATATAATTAATGAAAAAAGGTTATTTGCATGAGCCTAAAAGTTCAAGGAAGTTCATTATTAAGTTTTAAATGTTAAAGAGGTTGTCTATACATGGGTCAAATTATAAGAGAGTTTTGCATAATTTAGCCTTTTATTTATAAGCAAAATTATAAATTTCAAAAAGCATTTATAGCATTCTTTCCAATCGTCTCCTATGAAGTTAATGTTTATTTCCACTTGACAAAGTTGTTTCATTAATTGCAAGGACAATTCAGTCTAAAATTTTTAATTTTAAACATAATTTTTATACTCAACTAACTTTTTTAAACTACGTGAATTAGTTATTTTTTATATTTAAAAATGGAAAGAGTGAGTCATTGTTAATTAACGTACATTCCTGAAAAAAGTTTATTAATATCTTAATTTCCTAAAAATATTTATATCTTTCTATTGATGCTATATTGAGTGGAATATTTAAACTAGTCTCATTAATGATAATATATAAATATAGAGCATTTAAATACAATGAATTAAAAAAGAGATAAACATTTTTAGGAGAGTTTTACATAATTTAACCTTTTATTTATAAGTAAAATTACAAATTTTAAGAAACATTTATGGCATTCTTTCCAAATTATCTCTCATGAAGTCAATGTTTATTTTCACTTGCCAAATTTGTTTCATCAATTGCAAGGATAATTTAGTCTAAAATTTTTAATTTCAAACATAATTTTTATATTTAACCAACTTTCTTAAACCATATAAATTAATAATTTTTTCCTATGTTTAAAAATGAAAAGAGTAAGTAATTGTTAATTAACATATACTCCTAAAATTTTTTTCTTAATATCTTAATTTCCTAAAAATGTTTGTATCTTTCTATTTATAGTATTGAGTGGAATATTTAAACTAGCCTCATTAATGATAATAGTTAAATATAGAGCATTTAAATACAATGAATTAAAAAAAAATAAAACAAGGGTATAAATGTAAAAAATGTAAAAATTATTCAATATTTTATATTTTAAATTAAGAGATGTTTTTACAAAATAATTTATATTGTATAATGGAGAAAATATTCCATAAACTATAGAAATTCAACAAGCGATCTAAGCGTGGCCGCCGGATCCCCTTCGACATTTTGTTGGATCAATTCTGTGGTTGCCCATCGTACACGTTAGCGGCGGCCGCCGCAATAACAGCGGGAATAGTAGGAGTGTGGCCGTGGTAGTAGTAATATTCTCAGCGACTCACGTTACAAAATAATATTTTTTAAAAAATTATACTCTTTTATTATAAAATATAAAATATTTTTAATTAAATCTCACCTTTAATAAAATAATTATTTATTTTTTTAAATTAACTTTATTTTTTATATTTATTTTTATTAAACACTATAAAATAAATATAAAGTTAATATCAATAGGGATATTTTTTTAAAAAAATAATGATTACATTTTAAAAATTAAAAATGCTTTACATTTTTGAATATTCAACTCCTTAAAAAATATCTTATATTTTTAAATGGAGGGAGTATATAGTAATAAATATTTATTAAATATATCCTATAACTTTGTTTTGTTAAATAAAAATAAAAATTTTAAAAAGATCATTTATTTAATACTTATTTATAAAATAATATTAAATAAAAATAATATAATGTGAAGGATATTATTAAAAGAATATAATTAATAACATTTTATTTTTATAAAAGTATTTTATATTTTAAAATGTAAAATTTTTTTAAGAGTGTTTTACGGTTTAAGATGGAGACAGTAATAATTGTAATAAAATAAATATGTCCTGTCCTATCTATGGGATTAGATTAGAGTTAAAAGAAAAGTTGGACAAAAACTATAAATAAAAATCACGTTTCAAAAATTATATTGGGCTACAACTAGAGCAAATTAAGTTAGGTGGGACCATATAAATATAAAGTTTTGCTAATTTTTTTTAACTTCACAGTTGAAGCACAAACCAATACATACAAGTACATATTTAAACTTTTGACTTTTCTTATACAGATTA